GGGGCACCGGCAGAGCTGGGGGGGCAGGGCATGGCAGGGGCTGCGGGTCGGCAGTGAGGGGCACCGGCAGAGCTGGGGGGGGCAGGGTATGGCAGGGGCTGCGGGTCGGGAGTGAGGGGCACCAGCAGAGCTGTGGGGAGCTGGCTGCCGGCTCACACGGCCCCGTTTCTCTGTGCTTGCTCCAGCAGAGCAGGTCTCCGGGTGCCAGGTTCCTGCTGCGCCCTGGGCAGTTGCTGGGGGCTCGGGCTGTGGTGGGGTGTGTGCAGTGTGTCCCAGGCCGGAGGGTCATGCAGCTCCCTGCTGGCGTGTGGGCTGCGTGGCTGGGATACTCGGCATTCCTGGGCCCCTGCCAGGACGGCCTGGGAAGCCGGTGGGGCCGGCTGGTTGGCAGGATAAGGAGCCGTGTTATCAGGTGTTTACTAGGCAGTTGGTGGGCGCAGCCGCCCGCCGCTCTCCAGCAGCTGCCGTCGGTGGTGCAGACGGGCGTGGCCCCGAGCAGGAGGGCACGGCTGGAATCTGCCGCCTGACCCGAGAGCCACAGTTCCCGCTGCCTGTCGGGGCGGGGGGATCGCCAGCTCCAGAGGGGAGCAGGCCGGGCCCGGGCGGGTTCGCTGGCACCCCTGGGCGGGGCGATGGGGGCTGTAGAACTGGGAGGCACTGGCCAATGGGCCCCTCCTGAGCAGCCTCCAATGTAGGGCAGAGCCGGGCTCCCCTGCTCCAGGGGAGCTCTGGGGGCAGGACACGTGGCTGCAGCCCCCTCCCCCCGAGATCCCCCCAGGCCCGCACCGTATTTGTTGCCGTCCTCGCCATTGGCACGGACCCGCTTGCCGAGGACCTGCAGGTGCCCACTGCTGCTACGGCTGTACAGCTGGTAGACGCGGACGTGCCGGCGGCTCACCTCGTCCAGGTGCCGTGTGTGGTTCTCCACATAGAGGCGGAAGTCGGCTGCTGTCTGGTGAGACTCCTGCAGGGAAAGGCAGGCCTGGCTCCCCACTGCGGCTCTGGGGGTCAGGCCCCTCTGGAGGAGGGCTGGGGCATGCCGAGCCCCTCGCAGCACGAGGAGACCGAGGGCAGATGCTGGCCAGGCCCATAGCCTGTCTGCCCAGGGAGCCACTGCCCACGGGAGGGCCCTCCGAGCCAGGGACCTACCCAGCCCCCCCCAGGCAGTCTCTCTCCCCAGGCCCCTGCCCGAACGGGCCCCGTCCATCCCTGCCCATTCTGCTCTGGCTCTGCTGGGAGGTCCCCTGTTCACCCGGCATGGTCAAGGCGGCCCTGCGGCCACTCGCCAAGTGCCGGGGCCTGTCTCTGCCGGCCCCAGGGTTACAGCCGGGAGACTGGCAGTGACTCCAGAGGAACAGCTGCGGAGGCTTCCCGCGGCAACACCCCATTCTCAGTGGCCAAATTTAACCCATCCAGGCCAAAATTCCCCCGGCCAAGTGCCTGCCTCAGGCCACATCAGCTGCGCTGGGCATCATGTTTGGGAAAATAGGTGGCTCTGTCCTCAGCTCTCGCTGGTGTGTTGCAAACCTGCGGCTATTTGGTGCTTCGCTTTAGCCCCAGCTACTCGGGCAGGAGGTCGCGGAAAATCTCGGCTTCCATTTTCACAAAGGTGCCACATTTGCAGACAGAAGCCTGAAAGCGGGACCGGAGCGTCTCCACCAGAAACCCACCTGTTACTGTGAAACGTCACCGGGTCGCACGCCAATCACATGCCATTCAGCCGGGGGGAGGAGGGGCTAGGCTGGCTCACAACCACTCTGCCACCAGGCTCCGGAACAGGGACCTGACATTTGGCTGCAAGTTGCCCTGGGGTCAGGGATGTATTTTGAGGAAGCCTCATTGAGGGTGCAGGAACAAACCATCCCATTGTGCAGAAAGAATAGCAAATATGGCAGGTGACCAGCTTGGCTTAACAGTGAAATCTTCAGTGAGCTTAAACACAAAAAGGAAGCTTACAAGAAGTGGAAACTTGGACAGATGGCATGGGAGGA